TTCCCTCGTTCCCCGTAAATGGGGGAAACCTCCAAAAAAATTACAAATTTAAAAATCGCTAATTTTCGAAATTTTTTTTACTAAAAACTGCCGTAACTTTTTCAAAAATGAACATATTAATATAATTTTTTTTTATATAGATGCATGATATCATTACCTTTCATTTGGTATATTTTTTTTTTATATGTGACCCTTTATCTGCCCACAGGATTTAAAATCACAACTTTTTCACAAAAAAATAATTTTTTCAACTTAACTTTTGAAAATGTTCCAGAAGGTCTGACACTTTTATATATATCTTAAATTAAAGCTTATGTATTATACTTTAATTTAAAAAAAAAAAAATTTGACCTCTGGACTTGTCTTCACGGCGAAAATGGCTACCGAATGCTATTTTCGTGTGAANATCTTCACGGTGAAAATGGCTACCGAATGCTATTATTGTGTGAAAATTCTCGATTTTATTTTTTATATTTTTAACTTTATAATGCTATGACATATTGAAAAGTGTATGGATCAACATTATTTTTTTATGAGAAATAATTTTTTTTAATAATCCCTTTTTTATTCGACATACTTTATCTTAATCAGGATATTAATAAGGAACTAGCAATAGAAATAGAAGTTAATGTTGCTTTTATAATTATCCACCAATTTTTTAAAATTAAACACTATCTAAAGATTTGCATCAAAGCGTTTTTTTTTTATAGTGATTTTAATCACTTTCAGATATCATTATACTTGATCCATCTATGCCACGTCACCACTGTGCTGCGACCCCCCTGTGCTGGGTTTTTTATATATGTGTGATAATTTTTCCTTTCACTTGGTATATTTTTTTTATAAATCTGATCTTTTACGTGTTCACAGGAGAGGATTTAAAATAACAACTTTTTCACAAAAAAATTACATTTCCAACTTAACTTTTGAAAGTGTTCCGGAAAGTCTGACACTTTTATGTATATCTTAAATTAAAGCTAATGTAATGTAATTTATTATGGAAAAAAAAACTTTGGACTTTATTTTGTCTTTACGATGAAAATGACTACCAAATGCTATTTTAACACGCTTTTATTAGTTTCACGTGTATGTTTGTTGTTGTTTGTTGTTTGTTGTTTGTTNTTTTTCAATTTTTTTTACTAAAAACTGCCGTAACTTTTTTAAAAATAAACATATCAATATAATTCTTTTTTTTATAGATGCATGATGTCATTACCTATCATTTGGTATATTTTTTTTATAAATCTGACTTTTTACCTGCCCACAGGGGGGGATTTAAAATGACAACTATTTTACAAAAAATTAATTTTTTCAACTTAACTTTTGAAAGTGTTCCGGAAGGTCTGACACTTTTATATATATCTTAAATTAAAGCTAATGTAATATACTTTATTATGAAAAAAAAAAATTTCGGACTTTGTTTTATCTTCAGGGTGAAAATGGCTACCGAATGCTATTTTTGTGTAAAAATTCTCGATTTTATTTTTTTATTTTTAACTTTATTATGCTATAACTTTTTGAAAAATGTATGGATCATTACAATTTTTTTATGAGAAATAATATTTTTTAATAAACCCTTTTTCGTTTGACATACTTTATCTTAATCGAGATATTAATAGAAATAGAAGTTAATGTTGCTTTTATAATTATCCACCAATTTTTTAAAATTAAACACTATCTAAAGATTTGCATCGAAGCGTTTTTTTTTGATAGTGATTTTAATCACTGTCAGATATCATTATACTTGATCCA